AAAGGATACGGGATTTGATAAATAATGGGCATTATAAGAAATTGCACAGAAAATTAGTCAAGGTAAACCTAATAAGTTGTGACTTTGTGCTGACGATAGCACCTCTCACTGACGATGCCAGCGAAACGTTTTGGAATCTACTAAGTCAATGCATTTAAATCACAAGTACTATGGCAAGGGACATATGTTCCGCAAGATCTTTTTGACACTCCGAACTATTTGCGAAAACGAGGTCTAATTAACACTATAAAGGTAAAGGAGAATGCGACCAGAAGGCAACACCATCTTAGTCTTTACAAGAAATTGGAAGTATAAGACAGTGCAAGATCCAACCAACCCATCAAAATCATGCAATTATATATTGATACAATCGACTGTTACAGATGATGATGGGGTTAAGGTAATAAATTTATCTTTAATTCCTCTTAATTCCAATACCACAGAACTCCTGCAGAAAGGATTAAATATTTCCCTTAGTAAGGAAAGAAAGGCTTTAAGAGGTTTTCTTGTGGAGGTTGTGAATATCTCGGAGAAATACCCATAATAGACTATACGAAGGATGAAAATGGAAATGGAAGTAATCCAAATAGCCCATATACAGGAGCGTATTAATGAGGATATACATAAAGTTTCAAAGGAATGAAAAAATAGCCCTTCATGCGGATAGGAGGGGAGTGACGATAGTAATTAACGGAAAACAATACACGGGGAAAGCGTAAAGCATGCAGAGCGATCGAAGCATTTATAAAATAATAAGAAGGAACCCAACAGTGATTATCAATGGAATATTAAAGGATTTTCTGAAGTAAGTAAGTACGAACCAAGAAATCTACGAGTGATTATTTCCTTATACAAAATGACGCAAGGCCATTGACAGCCTAAGGGCTACCAAAGATAGACAAAAAAGGCGAGCAACTAAGAGTGACAAGCAACATGTATGAAGCGACGCATAAACCAATCAAATTAATATGTTTAAAGTTTAAAAGGGCGAAGAGCAGACTATCAAGCACCGTAAATAATTCATAAGGATTTTCTCAAAATATCCAAAGCATTGGACTGTAAGGGACGAAACTGTTAGTAAGTTTAAACGGGCAATCCATGTATACAAGCATCTCAGGCGAGAAGGCGGCCATGGCCCTGCAGGAGATCTTGGAACGAGAAGAGGATATCCTGTTACCAGAACGGATACGGAAGGAGTCTTTAGCAGGGCAGATCAAGCTGAGAATGAGAACCACATATTTTACAGAGGGAGACAGTTAGTTCATGGTATATGAGTTTGAACATATAAATAGTCCAATATGATCTACTCAATACAGAAGCCAGATAGAGATAAGGAAGACTACAATATTAAGCAAGTCTTGGTTTGGCAGTAAGGATGGCAAGACTCATTGACGATGCCGACTGCGATATCGGTGAAGCGTATAAGAATGTACTAACTCAAAGATCCGGCAATGGAAATTATCATGAGTTGATTTCAGTCACCATGACAACACGACTAAATTACGAAGACAAGATAAAACTACTTATAAACAAAGAAAGGAGGCCACGTCATGTTAGCCTTCATAGCATCAATCAGTTATGAAGTTTTTATGTAAGAGTCAAAGGGACCATTTCTGTTCAGCCTACCTGTTTGGCCTGTCTCCTTGGGGTCACAGCGCCAGTGAAACTTTTAGGTGCATGTCCGGATGGCTGGTCCAGGATCAAATACTCTGTAAACTCCAGTTGTTCGTCTTTGTTAACGTACTTCAGCTCCTGGTGACGTGGGGTATTGGCTAAGTATTTTTAAAAATAGGAAAGTAAGTTCAGAAGGATATCTGATCTCCAAAAAATGTTGAAGAGGGAGGTAGACCAATCGATAGAATTTTCTTCTATTCATATAGCCGAAGAAGCCTTGGGATAGTATAAAAGAGTACAAGGAGTGCTAATGTATCAATATTCACATAGCATCGATAATCATACCGATAGTTGAAGTAAATAAAGCCAAAGTAGGATCGTATGTGTACAAAGGTGGTACGACCTTAAGTTTGGTATCAGTAGAGAGCCTTTATGAGCTTGTTTCCGTTACCCGGAAATTTTTACAGGTAGACACTGAAAAATATACCTCTTAAAGGTGAATTTGTTAACGGTGTAAAAATGACATCAATGAAATAAATTATCTTAATTTGTCTTCAAGGATAAAAATAAGATAGGAAAGGCCACAACGTTAGACTATATCACATAAGTTGACTAAGAAATTATAGTTAAATTTACACCGCAATGATGTGAATGGGCCTCGCTCACTTTCCAAAAAGGAATTATAATCCAAGATGGACTACAGTTGCGCCCTCGATTCTCATGGGGAAGCTGACTGGACTCAGTGGAGGTCGAAACATAGGTCCATCAATGGTGAGGATTCCTTTCGACATGCAAGAGCGAGTTAACTTCAGTGGAATCGCGAGGCCTAGTATAGATATATTTCCCGCAGAAAACAGAGGCCGTTGCTACAGGTGTTCATATCGTTCATTATTTTATTGTCGAAATATGTGACTAACTGATGATTCACACTGCCTACATTACTGCATACCACATTATGTGAACTAAAATGATTATTCTAATATATGAAGACCAGGATGGTGTGGCCTTTTGTATGGTCGCGGTCTTCTTTCGTTGTATAGAAGTTGTTTGGCCTTGTTTTCGCAACTTTGTCATATTGGCATGTACGTTCCTCTAGGTCTTCCTGCCAATATAACCAAGTTGCGAAAACAAGGTCAAACAACTTGAATCAAATTAATTATTGCTACCCAATGACGGAACATGATCAGCCAGTGCTTTAGAAGAGCTCATGCTCGTATGAAATTTATCGCATGATCATGACAAAAATTGGAGCCAGGATCCTTTCGTGCAGCATAGACAAGAGCTACTTAGAAAATTTCGGGGTTTTCTTTAATTGTTACCTTCAGCAACGAATGGCTATATGTATACATTTTATAGCCTATTTCTAGTAGCGTATCCATATTTGCTAAACAGATGGTGGTAGGCATGCTTCACACCACCTAAGAATAGTGAAACAATATAAATGAAAAAAACTATGAGAATCCTAAATAGAAGGAAGAAGTGGAAAAAACTTGACAGGAACTACTTCTGCATGGAAATTATGAGATATAAGAAGAAAAACCATCGAGTAATATGAAGCTTGGTTAGTGAGTCATGCCTACCATCATATCATCTATCATCTTCATAGCCTCATGAGCATCGCAACAAAATAATAAGACGAGCAAAAGATTTTTAAGATCGCACTATCGGCCATTTTGGAAATATGGCGAATGTTCAGTCACATCAAAATCAAATTCACTCATGTGAAGGTATGAAGCAGCAAACCGAATCATCGCATGCCTCATCAAGATATAAAAATTAGGTTGTAAGAAGTAAATGAGATTGCAGCCAGACTTTGACGCTTAAACAAGTCACTACTATGAGGACAAATTATTTGTGAGGCCAATATATGCATCTATTCCACCAAAACTTTTGACTTAAATGAGAGATCCACTGTGATAAAATTATCAAGAGGTTTTCTAAACTCAATTTTTCTTCAGATATAAGCAAAATCCTCAAAGTTGTTCAATAAATATGTATACGCTACTAGAAATAAACCATAAAATGTATACATATAGCAAGTCGTTGCTGAAGGTAACAAATAAAAAAACCACCCGAAATTTTCTAAGTAGCTCTTGACTATGCTGCACGAGAAGATCCTGGCTCCAATTTTTGTCATGATCATGCGATAAGTTTCATACGAGCATGAGCTTTCCTAGAGCACTGGCTGATCGATGTCCATCATTGTGCAATTATAATCATTTTATATCGTATAGATGAAAACCAAGATGGTGTGGCCTTCTGTTTGTTGTATTGTGTTTGACCTAGTTCTCGCAACTTGGTCGGAGAGTCAAGGAGATCTTGTGGAACGTCCTCTGACATAGTATTCGTGATGTAGCCAATGTGAATCATCAATTAGTCACAAATTTTCACTATGAAATAATGAACAATATGAACACCTGCAACAACAGCATCTCTGCCTTCTTCTGGGAAAATATCTTGACTAGCTTTAGCTTTACCGCCTCTGCTATTCCTAACTCTAACCGAAAACAAGTGCTTTACCCTTAGCCAATCAAATAAACTTCAGCACTAAAGAGGAACTTTGGAATGTTTTGAGTTGTGGTAGAGGCAAAATACAAAAGTATTTCAACAACCTCAGTTGTTTTGTATACCATACATTGAGCTAAATTACCTTCTTACCCGGGCTCCTAAGATTCTTCTGATCGGTCACGAGTGAAATCCTTTCTGTTCGCGACGTTGCGACAGTATTCGCTTGGGCTCTTCTGTTTCGCGCTGAATTTGACCTGTCCACTCTTTTAGAGCTGCCTAACTCGCACTTATCACTGGCTGATTGTGTGGAAGTCTGACTTGCCAATCTAGTCTTATTAACGACCTGTGCCGCGTGAGCGTCGACAAGGCTTGTATTCACTTCCGGCACCAACGTAAATGCCTCCGGCTTGAAAGTGCAATGTAGTTTTTCATGCTCTATATGTTGCTCGTTGTTACCGACTTGTCGAGGGTCAGTCGTCTTCGCCTGTGATAATATTTCACTATCCTCTTCTCCAGAGCTAGTTGAACTGACCCCAGGAATGAGCCCGGGATCAGCACCTTCGGCTTTCTGTACCGCTGCCAATGTATGATGTGAAGCATCCTGCCTAGTGGGCATAGCCTCATTCGGTTGCCCTTTATTGGCTTCTTTGAAGTCCTCCGTCGACTCATTTCCTATCCGTTTCGCCTGCACTTCAAGCTGCCCAGCTGTCTCCGTATTCATCGAAGCCTCCTGCTCTATTATACCATTTTGATGGGAAAATTCAGAGTGAGTAGGGGTTGCTGGCTTGCCTTCAGGCTTGCCAACCCTTGGGCTGGGTTCACTCATTCCCGACGAATACAAAGTTTCGACATCCATCTGATTAGATTTTTGCGAAGCTTCTCTGTCAAAAGACGAATCTCTCTTTTTTTCCTCACTCAGGATAGATGAAGTATGAGATGTTCTTGTAGTCTGATTATGATCAATGTCTGATCTTGTTTCGGTTTGATCATGACTCGATTCACCAGTAGATTCGGGTTGAGATGGAGTCTTATGCTCGTATATTTGACCAATATTGTGTAAAGCAAGCTCAGACAAAGTTGGGGACGAGTCTGACAGCGATGTCGGCTGGGTGGAGGAAGAGTCATTTGAAATGAGGAAGCTCGAATCTTCCTGATCGTGTAAAAGATTGTCAAGAATTGTAGATATGGTTGGTGGTGAAGCGACCATATCGACTAGTTCAGGCTTAAAAGAGACGCGCGACTTTCGCCCGGTGGAAGAGATTGTGGGCTCATTCGCAAACTGAGTGTTGACCTGTCAAGAGAAAGATTCCCAAGGTTAGGTTGAATAGTGTGGTTATTTTACGTCAGGCCCTTTAAGACATTGTGACGTAGTACTATGGAAAAGAGGAAAATACAGA